CTCAAGCTCCCTCTGTTCTGTTTTAAATGGGACTATTTTGTCTTTCCTTGTCTGAATAATATTCTTTTGTGTGGGGTAATACCACATCTTCTTGACCCATTCCTTCTTGAGCTATTTTCTACATGTTGTAATGTAATGCTGTAATAAACACTGTAGAGCATATGATGTTTTTAAGTTTATGATTTCATGTTCTTTGGATAAATGCCCCAAAGTGGAATTTCACAGCATTTACAATTACAGTTTTTTAAGATAAATCCAGATTGCTTCCCAAAATGTCCATACTAGTTTACATTCCCACCAACAATGTCATGTTTCTCTTTCTCTGTACTCTTTCCAGCACTTATTATTGGGGATCTTTTTAGTATGTGCCATTTTCATAGGTGTCCAGTGATAGATTATTATGATTTATGACAGTGATAACTTTCTCTCCCTTACTGAAAGTGAGGATGAACATTTTCCCATGTTATCGATTGATATCCATTTGAATTGTCTGTTCATATCTACTACCGATTTGTTGTTAGTTTAAGCATCTTAATATTTCCTGATCAGTCAGTTTCAGAGAAACTGAATCTCTATAATCTAGTTACAGATTTATCTAATACAGTTACATTGTGTTGGTTGTTGCTTGACATAGTTTGTATTATTAAGTGAATTTGTATGCATGGTTATTATACCTTCTTATTCTCTTCTTCCTGTTGCTTTATGTAATTTTCTCTTCTCCAAATTTATGATGCATTTTGGATTAAAGTTTATATATTAGGTGTTAATATTTATCCATCTACCCTCTTCTTTGGCTTTGTATACCTTTTCTTATCCTAGTTAAAAAATATGTCTGCCTTTTAAACTTAATTTTTCTCTTATGATTGATACCTGGTTTGATTCTTTTAAAATCAAATCACCATTTGTATTTTTAGCCCTTTTACATATTTTAATATTGCTATTATAATCAGATTTGTTTCTCTTAAGTTTTCATATTTTCTGTTACCAACCTTTTTTTTTTAAAATATTAAAAGGTTTATTTATTTATGCATACAAGAACTGGAGTACAGGCCAGAGTTGTGGGGGGTGGGGGACAGTGAGAGGATTCACCAAAGACAGAGTAGAGAACTGAACAAGGAGACCAAGTGAAATACGTTGCTGAGGGGGCCAGTGGGTAAAACAGGAGAGGTCTGCTGCACCCTGTGGGTCAGCTCCCTGGCCAAGGACTGAATTCATGCTGCAGTGGCTGCAGACAGCTTTGTAGTGCTGAGACTTAACCCCTTGTACCACAAGGGAGGCCACCAGTTACCAAACTTTTTAAAATATATTTCTAAAGTACTTTATTCCTTCCAGTTTTCATTTATTATGATTTAAAGACAGCATTTATTTGTACTTATTGTGACTAGCCTTATCCAAATATCTATATTTGTCATTAATTTTCTATTTGTTCTTAATATTCTATCTGCTCATCTAACCTGCTCTCATATAATTTTATTAAAATCTTCTAAACTACCACAATTTTATTATTATTTAGATTGGAGTTGTTATGACAATATCTCTTTCTTTTATTCTTTCATTATCCATTAATTCTAGAAATGTTTCCCCTTCCTTCAATTTTTTTTTTTTCCTATGTATGTCTACCACCTTTTTGGAATGTCTCTAGTTCTGTTCTTTATGTTCTTTAGATTTTGTTTTCTATTTTGAAATAAGCTTTCCCTAATGGTTGTCTCTATAAAAGTTTATATATTTCCAGTTTTATTGAAATATGATTGACAGGTATCATTATATAAGTTGTAAGTATTAATATATTTGTACCTCTTCCACTTTATTTATATCTTATTCATTAGCATTTGAACATTTTCCATATCTAAAACTCCCTCTTATAACTTCTATTTTTTTTTTGCTTTCTACCACAGATATCTTCTCTTATATCTAAAGCATTTTATGTCCTTAAGAAATTATTTTTCTATGCACCCCAACGTTAGTTGCCACTCACTGTTCATTTTACCACCTTTATTTTCTGTTGTTTTACACCTGAGATATACTCCTGAGTTAGATAATATTCAGGGCCGAGCTTCAGTTGACCTCCCCTGATGAGTGTGTGAGTATAGGAAAAGGGAGAACACCCAGAGTTGAAGCTTCTGGAATATCATAGCCCACTCCAGCTTGCTGCGCACTCCTAAGTCAGTAATCTACCTGCCAGTTCTAAGAGAGACTCAGCACTGGGAGGAGATGTTCTCTGGAGTATGTGATCCGCAGCCCTTGGGGTGGGAGCAGGAGAAGGCGGAGTGCTCTCTGCTGCACCTGCTCGCACCTCTTCCCAGCTGCCTTCCATCGGCTTGTCATCATACCAACACCTGTGACCTGGTATGCTGCTGTTGGCTTGCTGGAGAGGGCGTAGCAGCGGTTGTCCCAAGCTAATTATGTTGATCCATACTCCTTGCTGCTAACATTTCTCCAGAAATTATGTGGTTTTTT